ATCATCATCCTCATCCTTCTCTTCATATTTACCCTTATTTTTGCATATTCCGCTTCACCTTTAACTTAAAGTGTTTAAATTTACCTTGATCTTCGTTTTTGCCTTTATCTCTAGGCATCTTTGTTTTTGTTTTTATTTTCAAACCGCTAAACCGCTAAGAACCATTGCATCCGTGTGCATTATTCCCCTTGAATTTTACAATTTACTCCCAACCAACCAACTGCCGCTAAAGAAGTTTCACTTCAAAAAGTCAAGAAGTTTTCACTTTTGCCTTCTTTTTTTGACTTCATCGTTACCATTTATTTCCTCATCTTCATATTTATCTTTATTAAAGAGCTTAATTTCAAATGCGAAGTGAAACAACATGCAAAACAAGTCAAATTGAACATGTTGCAGCAACATCTATACACAAATACGGAAATTTTTAAACGACGGTTTAAACATAATTTTCAACCAATTTTGAAACCATAAAAACTCTGCTCATCTACAGAAAAATGCCTTTCCAATGGTGTTCTTGGTTTGGAAATCGGTTCGGTAGAATCACCAAACGAACGGAGACAAAATTCATGTTAGCGTATTAATACATACTAGAGTGCCAGTTACTGTCGAAATTCGACTTGGAGAGGATTTCTAACTTAACACGCAGCAAAACTTATACGGTACAAATTAACTAACCGGAAAATCTTCTGCTAAAACGTAACTACATTTTTTTTTTTTATCTGAGAAGGTCTTTGGAGGACTTCGGCAGGACTTGGAATTGACCCGATACATTCAAGTTTATCGATAAATTTCAATGATTTGATACATATCGATAGTTCGATGAATTTCAAGAGCACTAAAATTCGATAACTCAACAAAATTCGTTAGCTCAACCAATTTCGATAACTGTCAAATTCGATGGCTCGATAAATTTAGATAACTCAAAAATGTAAAAACTTTGGATACCTTTATAAATTTTTACTTTTGACATCTCCACATTTTCCGAAAACTATCTAAACATTTTGATAACTCGTTACACTCTGTTAAGACAATTAAATGCGATAAGCAGTGATAAATCGATAAGCCTATATAACCTTGAAATTTCGATAAATCGATATATTTTGAAAATTCCATAAAATTCGCTTCGTTGAACCAACCAATTTCAGTAGATCAATAATTATCGATAACTCTGTAAGTTGAGAGAACTCCATGCATTACGACACCTCGATAAATTTCGTTAAATCTATAAATAATGATAATTCAACAAATATCGATAACTTGATACATTTCTTTAACTTGACAAATTTCGTTAATCCCACACGTTTGTATAGCTCGATAACTATCCGCAAATTTGGACAACTAAGTTTCTGTGTCTATAAATTTCGACAACTCAGTAAACATTGATCAGTTTGAATAATTCCATACGTTGCGATAACTTAATAAGCATGGACAAATTTCGATAAATATAAACTTCGATGATTCGATAAATTTCAGTAACCTTTATGGCTGATTTTATTTCGATTCCTATCGGAAAATTTCAGCTCTGTTAACCTAATTCTTACGTATTTTTCATTGTCTCCATTTTCGCCTTTATCTCGATTTTCGTCTTTATCTTCACTTGTGCCTTTTTTTTGTCTTCATCGTTAGCACATGTTTCATCATCTTCATATTTATCTTTATTTCAATATTTAATTTCAAATACGAAGTAAAACAAAAGGCGGAACAGCTTAAATTGAACAGGTTGCAAAAACAGCCATTAACAAATATGGAAATTTTTAAACGACGATTTTCAACCAATTTCGAAACTATAAAAACTCTCCTCATCTACAGAAAATTACTTTCCAACGGTGTTTCTGGTTTGAAATCGGTAAATTTACCTTGGTCTTCATCTTTGTCTTTATCTTAAACATTTTTGCTTATATCCTTTTCTTTTTCTATTTACATAGATGAGATGAGGTGTGATGACGTGATAAGATGTGACGTGATTTTACATCATATGATAGGATGTCATGTCATGTGTTGTCATATCCTCTGATGTCATGTCATATGATGTCATACCATATGATGTCATATCATGTGATGCCACGTCATGTAATGCCATCTCATGTCATACGATGTCATATCATGTGATGTCAAGTCATGTGATGTCATGCCATATAATGTGATGTCATATCATATAATGTCATGTCACGTGATATCGTGTGATGTGATATCATATTATGTGATGCAATATCATGTGATGTCTCTTCATATCATGTGATAAAATGTGATGTGATGTCATGTAATGTGATCACATTCCATATTCCGATTAGTGTATCGATAACCCTGTTGATAACTGTGTTGATAAAAATACCGATAACAATATCCATACACATATAGAAAAATACAACGATTGTAAAACCGATTAATTCAGCGATAAATATAACAATCATCAGTATCGATTATTGTACATATCGTTAACAATATAAATGACTAAATCGATAACAACTTCAATTATTTAATCGATTATTATACCGATAACAATATCCGTTATTGTATCGATAACAATTTCGATTATTATATCGATAACAATAGCAGTTATTTAATTAATAACAGCATCGGTAACAATATCGATTATTTTATCGAAAGCAATATCGATTATTCAATCGATAATAATATCGAGTTTTATATCGATCTTCATCCTCATCCTTTTCTTCATATTTATATTTATTTTTGCATATTCCTCTTCACCTTTACCTTAAAGTGTTTAAATTTACTTTGATCTTCGTTTTTGCCTGTACCTCTAGGCATCTTTGTTTTTGTTTTTATTCTCAAACCGCTAAACCGCTGAGAACCATTTCCATGTGCATTATTCCCCTTGAATTTGACAATTACTCCAACCAACCAACTGCCGCTAAAGAAGTTTCACTCCATAAATTCAAGAAATGTTCTTACCTTTCAGTTACCCTAATTCTTATGTATCTGTCATTGTCTCCATTTTCGTCTTTATCTTCACTTCTGCCTTCTTTTTTTTTACTTCATCGTTATCATTTATTTCTTCATCTTCATATTTATCTTTATTTCAAAGCTTAATTTCAAATGTGTAGTGAAACAACAGGCGAAACATGTCAAATTGAACATGTTGCAGCAACATCTATACACAATTCGAAAATGTTTAAACAACGGTTTTGGCCGTAATTTTCAACCAATTGTGAAACCATAAAAACTCTGCTCATCTACGGAAAAATGCCTTTCCAACGGTGTTCTTGGTTTTGGTTGGTATTAATATATAGATATAGATTTATGTATTCATGCTCAACTTGTCACACCCGTCACAAAGTCAAGTCGCACCCGTCACAGTTGAATTTGGAACATATAATTACGGTGACCATCCCTCCTTTATTTTAAAGGATAGTCCTTTATTTTACCCCCCTGTCCTTTACAATTTTTTTCAAAATAAAGGACACCTTTTGTCTTTTACTTCTTAAACTGTCCTTTAAATCGGCTCTGCATTTTTCAGACGTAATTTTTAAACGCAAAATATGAAAAATAAAAATGTCCCTTATAAAATATAATGAAAACCTTCGTCAGTTTGTTTCGCACCCTACTTAAGGGTTTCTATTTAATCGGTTATCTTTGTACAATCTACAAAGCACAGGGAAAGTTGTGCTCAGGATCGTCTTGTACGCTGAGTTTCCAGTTCCACTGAAAGAGTACAGTAAACCCCCTGCTGCACTGTGGTTCAAAACTGGCATTTAGTGTTCGTAATTCACTGGAGCCTTCATTTTTCATTTCATTTGATTAATTTTAATTTTTTTATGAAAGCTTACAATATTTGAAATGGACCAGTTGAGCCTGATTTCTGAATTTTTATTTGATTATATTAAATTTTTTTTTTGTGCAAAATGCAGAAAAAGTAGCAGTTTGGATAAAAAAATTTGAAATGTTATAAAAAATGTTCACCAAAATATTTTTTTTTTTGCTTTTTAGTAAAAAGTGGTTGTAAAATTAAGGCTCCGGTGCATTATGAACATTAAATTCCAATTTTGAACCACTGTATGCTGGCTTCGTCTCGCAGTATGAATTATGATAAGCGCATTTTGGTAGCAAGGGATTGCGAAGTCCTTGAAAAGGATTTGGCTTCATTTTTCGCTACAGCAGAAGGACTTGTACAATTAAATAATATAATTAACTGATAAATATTTGATTTAAATTACGATATGTATTACAAGTTGTATGTATGTAAGTATTCCCAAATCGTTTTGAAAAAAATGTCCTTTATTTTACGTTGGTTAATATGGTCACCGTACATATAATCTATTATTTCCAATAGAGGTAAGCAACTTAGGCGTAAATGTTGAGAATGTTTATTTAACTATATAGCGAACTATTTAAAAACATAAGCAGAATACATAATTAGCATAAAAACTCTGATGCAAGTAAGTAGTAGTTAATTTGGTTTGCGTACTCGTCACACCCGTCATACTGACTAAAACAGATAACTCGTTCGGATTGAATTGTTATTGAATTTTTTTTCTAGGCATTGTGTATATCTCGGAAACCTATTAGAAAATACTCGTTTTAAAGAATTTTATATTACAGTTTAAGAATTAAGCCTTAAAATGTGAGTTGAAATGTCACACCCGTCACCGTGGAATGAGCCATATGCAATAAAGAAGTGGCCGTTCGGCACTTACATAAATATATGTATACATATATAATTATGAAAATTGTGAAGTGTTTTATTTGATTTACTTGTGGAAAATAATTCAATCCTCGAAGGACTTTAGGGATTCCGCACCACCTCGACCCTCGTTTGCCGCGGAATTCAACAGGAATTCCCGGCCCCCAATCCACCCCGCCCGAACAGCTGGTAAACAGAAAGAAAGTAGTTTCCGAATTTTTGCTTCTCGGAAATTGAAAATCGCTTTAGAAACTCATTTTAGATGCAAGGTGTTACTGCTCCTGCAATTACTTTTCAAAAGTACTTGCATTTGTAACGTCTAATAGCTACTTTAGTGTATGAATTGTGATAATCTCACCTGTTCATAACAATGAGATGACCTTTTGTTTTATTGGCACGCATTAACTTCAGACCTTCACGTAAACAAATGGATGTGGACACCACATTAAGATCGAATAATTCCTTGATTTCCTTGCCAGTAGATTCTTTTAAGACCAGAAAGAAGAAAAGGAGAAATTATTTAATGGAAATTCAAAGTACTGCTACCTGCAATAAAATTCGCCTTAAGTATGCCAGCGTTGCATACGAGTATTGTAATCGGCGGAAAAGTATCGCGGACATATTTAAAAGCAGATAAGATGCATTCTTCGCTACTTAGATCGCAGTGGTGAGGATGGATTTTGCCATGCCCTGTTACTTGTTTGTTCAAATCCTATGAAAAAGCAAATAACATACATGTTAAATAAAAAGGTTAAAAATATGCTTCCTATGTATGTATTTAAGTATTCATGTATGCAAATATGAAATCATCAAACAAATTACGTCTGATAGCTTCTTTTTCAATATCTTTGGAAGGCGGCAAATGTGTGTTCAGCACCTTTTAAATGACAGTGCTGTTCTTGTGAGTTTCGGAATGATAATTAAATAATCTTTTTTTTTTTAACAAATTGTAACCACTTTTGCAAAAAATATATACTTTAAATTTATTCGCCAAAAAAAGAAATATTTGCACTATAAAGGAGTTAAATCGCATAAATATTTTTCAGAAGTTTTATCCAATCAACTAATGTACGCGTACTTTAATTAATTCCGCTCGTCGCGCCAAGCCTATAACGCTTATTCCTTTATTAGCGAGCATCACTGCAATTTGTGCTCCAATGCCAGCAGAGGCGCCTGTAATCAGAGCCACTTGTTGCACATTTTCTCCTGTTTTGGACATATTTAAACTCGGATAAAAAATCACTGTGATTCACTTTATTCAAGAAGCATCAACAAATAAAGCTTTCGTTCGCATTCAACGCTGATCCGTGACTGATTGCTTTGACATAACAAATTAGGTCCCAGCCTAGGCAATGCAAACATTGCATCTAATCAGACCTCAGCGTGGAGTGGTGGAATGCTTCATTGTGCCAACTGCAGATGTGTTCTGCTGGGCCCTTAAATTGATGCCAATATTTGAGACTTACTTGTACATATATATCAGGGTAGCCAACACTTTTTTGAGAGTTCCCCGATTTCGATAATGAAATTCCCCGATTTTGCCCGAAATTTCGTAAAATTCCCCACCCATATATATGTCCTTATTTACGAAAAAATATGTATTTTGATATATTACTGGTCTTTCTGTTTATTTTATTTTTAAATGTAATTTATCTATGTATTCATAAACCAAACCAAGGATTTATAAATTTAGTTAACAAATAAAGAAGAAAATATGTACATATAATATTAACATACATACAGTGGTTGAAAAAATTTTAATCGCACGAAATTTTTACAAGTTTTCACCACTATTATTATTTTTTCGTTTTGTTATTTAATTTGAGTAATTTTTTTATAAAAGTATAGTTCATCCTTAACCAAAAACCGTATAAATCTAAGTTTCAAACTTTGTGCAATATTTAAGAAACAAATTCAACGAACTTTCGTAAAAATTTCGAGCTTTAGATGATTAGATTTAGATTCGAGAAAGATGTTGAGTGTGGGGTTTTGTAGCCCACACAATTCTAGTGTGTAGAAGTGCAAGTTTCAAGTGGCTAAAAATTTTGGTTTTAGAAATTTTTTACCGAGGGTGTAGCGGTTTTCTACTATATAAAAATAAATTGTGTTTATACGTTATATGAAACCAAATGCGACAAAGGAAATTCTAAAAAAATAAACGGTAATTTTTAGCCATTTGAAACCTTATTATACTAGAATTGAACCAGCTACAAAACTGCATACTCAAAATCTTTCTAAAAAATCAAGTTATAAAGCTCGAAATTTTAACGAAAGTTCGTGGATTTGTTTTTTTTTTTTAAATATTGCACATAGTTTGTAACTTAGATTTATACGGTTTTTGTTAAAGGATGAACTTATAAAATTAAATTTAAAAGTAACAAAAAACTAAAATAATAGGTACATAGCTGCTTATGACACAGCGTCTTAAATTCCCCACAAAAAAACGGTCCATTTCCCGATTCCCCACGCAAACTGAAATTCCCCGCAAATCGAGGAATTCCCCACGAGTTGGCTTCCCTGATACATACATATGTACTTATGTTTGTACGAATGAGTGTACATGTACATAAATGTAATGCGATTTTCAGATTAAAAAATAATGATATCAAATTACAAATATGTCTGTACCAGGGATGTTGGGAATATTTGCATTCGCATTCGTTATGCGAATGATTCGTATCATTTTACACATTCTGTTTCGCATCAAATGATACGAATGTTTTGCTGATGCGAATGTGTACATTGGCAGAGAGTCCACTCTAATATTATTGAAATGGCTCTAATATTAATTGGAAATCCACAATTCGGATATATAAAGTGTTGATAAGGGCCTGTGCTAGGGTGGCCAGATGCGCTGATTCAATCAGTACATGTGCTGATTTTTAAGAGCCCGAAATCAGTGCGCAAAATCTACTGATTTTTTGAGTTTGTACTGATTTTGTACTGATTTTTACATTTAATAAATACTTTTGAAAATTGGTGTTATTGACATTTACTTGAGGTTTACATGTTCAAAGCAATGGTTTTTGACAACTCATACGTGTGAGCAGATTGAAAGCATTTATTAAATTTAAACCATTATTAAAAAGGTGTCAGCTTGCAATTGTTTCGTTTCCTAGGATTTCGCAGGTTTTAAAGCATTTGCAGGAAAAGCTGGTTTCGCCATTAATAAATCTTATGAAAGGTGGTGGTGAGTTAATCATATATTAAGTACACTGGGACGATGACAATAAGAGATAATCTTTTGATTATAATTAAACATCGACTGAGAAATCGGCTGTCAGTATTTCAAACTTAAGATGACTACTGCTATGGTGCAATGTAAGTTCTAAAAATTTGGAAAAGGTGCAAACTACCGACACTTGGATATGATATATGTAGCTTTACTTTGATTTTTGATGTTCGACTACCTGTAATTTTACTTGCATATACTCATTTAACACTATTAAATTTCATTCGTACTCGAAAATTCGTTTAGCGATAATTCGGTAATATACCTTTTAGTCAACATTTTAATGTGAATGTTGTATTTAATAAGCACACCATCTAAATAAGTTTTAAATTCGTAGCCTGAAATATGCAAACAGATTCTGACTCAAGCTCGTCTTCTACTAAAACTGAATGGGCTACACATTTTTTTTTTTTAATTTTCTCGATTTCATAAATATTATAGAAAGTTTTAGACTTCAACTCACATGTCTTTTGTTATAGAACTAACTATATTTTTATAAAAAATTTAAATTATATAAGGAAAGAAAAAATTTTCAAAACCTGTCAAGACATTTTACTACTATTTTCGTGAGCACAGCTGTACATATACTATGTCTCCATTAAAAGATCTACCTATTAAGATTTAATAAATCTAGTTGCTAAATCTTAACCGTCTCCATTGCCACAACGAGATATGTTTGACGTTCACATTTTGAAATATTTGACATTTGATTATGTATGTTTTTATAAATACAGTTGCGGACATTGAAATACACACAAAACGGTAAATAGCAACATTTGCTGAAAGAAAAATTTTTAAAATTCGGTAATGGTTTGGGGAAATAAACTCTCTTCTTCATAAGCAGAAAATCCAATCGTAGGCCTTTGGCATATCATGAAGACCTAGCTAGCAAAAATGACTGCCAATGCATTTCTTGAGTCGAATTGAGTTCTAGAGCATTTTTTGTGCAATGTTATCGAAGCAGAACCATTTTCTGAATTTTCTAAATTTTATGTCGTAGCGCGTAAAAGATTTATAGGAAGCGAATAAGACTCTGCATTATATTATCATAAAACATATTTTCTGAATTTTTAGTTTTTAAAATAATATATTCTTGATTTATTAAAACAAAAGTTATGTAAATACTAATAATTTGGATTTAAAACTAACCAAAATATAAAAACAGCCCTAAGAATACGAAAATGCATGTTTTTTAATCGGCTGGATTTCAATGTCCGCAACTGTATATTGAAAATACAAATGTCATTTGACTTATGGCATGTGAATATGTGGATGCCACACCTAACAAATTATATTTATTGATCAATATTATTGAAGATTTAACGAAGTTTTAACTTAAATCTACTGCCTTTCGAGATTTAATTTTATATGACAAATCTCGAAAGATTTAACGTTAAATCTCGTCAGAGGGCTAAATCTTCATTAAATCTCGCAATGGAGACATAGCCATACATACGTAATACCTTTGATTTGTTTTAAAGTAATGAAATTTTATATTGATAATACTATATGTATTTAAAAGTCTATTAGTTATTATTTGTTAAATTAATGCGCTGTTATTTGGTTGCTATATTGTTAATAATAAAAAATACGCTTACAAATTAACTGATTTTTATGGCTTTGTACTGATTTTTGATCCCAACTGTACTGATTATGTCACTATAATATCTGGCCACCCTAGCCTGTGCCAATCGGTAACTTTTTTCTCCATGGTGAGACGGGGTGAAAAAATTTGCTATGGTGTACAAATAAATTGAATTTTGCTGTGCCAAATGCAAAGTAAAATTTTGACAGTTGAAAAACCAAACAAACGCTAGAGCGAAAGCTCTATTTTTGCGTGTTCCTGAAATTGTTAAAATTTATATTTGATTTATAACTTGTAAATAACGTTCGCTTTTTTTGTGCTTCTTAGCTTTCATTTCCACGTTCACAAGCAATATTTTGTGAATACATGTTTATAAAATGACAAAATTTTACCTAGCTCCACGAGCTAGGTAAAATTCTGACGTTCGTACTCACCACGATAAATGTCAAATTTTTACTTTGATCCGTCAAAATTTCCTCTTTTCTATCAATTGGCACAGGCCCTAATGCAAAACTTTAATTGAAGATAAAACTCAAAACAATATTCTCTGTGTTATACATATGCCGCGAACAGGAACGGCAACTTTTGTTTGTTCCATGCCATGGCGGAATTATACCAGGTGAAGTAATTTTAGAGTGAGAAGAAAGATTTTGACTCTACCTTAGTGGAAAATATGCCTATAAAATTTGACTGTAAGGCAGTCGAATGTCACAAAATAAAGTGAGAAAGCTGTTTTATTACTTCACCTGTTTATTGCGCCATGGTTCCATGCAAACATTTTAAGATTTTCCAGCAATGTTTTCAACATATTAAAAGGCTGCAGATAAAATTCATACAAAAGCGTTATTAAAGACGACTCTTTTCCTATATTTTGTTAGACTTTTCATAAGTAAAAATATTTTGTGAATATTACTTTCTTCATATGAATTATATCACATTTTTTGTTTAATTGTACTTTTGGAATAAACAAAGTTTCTTTTCCTTCTGCCAGTAAACTGTTTTTGTTACAAATAGTATAAATAAGCAATGGGAAATAAGGAAATATTTGTTTTATTTCCACCCTTTGTTGGAAATAAAGCAAAGTTCAGATTTTGGTATTATTTCCCATTTAAAAGTGAAATAAAGCAAATTTTGCGTTATTGGCGTTTGGGTTATTTCACGGATGCGGATGTTTAAAAGCTAACATCCGCGGATGCGAATGCGAATGCGGATGTCATGTATTTTTAAGAAATAATTTGGATGGGTAAATTAGGTGATTTAGGTAAATAAAAAATGGAAGGGTTAACAATTTTTAATAATCTGCCTTATCCTGAGTTTTGCCTAAAAAAAAAAATCACCCGAAAATTTGTATTCCGCCCATAGTAAATATGTACAAGAAAACCAAAAGTGAAAAGTGAACCGGTTCGGGGAAAACTAACCTCATGATTAGACTGACCCCCTTATTCTAGAACCCGAATTTTGCACATGCTGCAACACTTGCAGCATTGCCAGCTATCAGTTGTTTTTCGAAGATAGCTGAATGAAGGAAAACAAAGTGGAAAGGAATTAAAAAAAAACACTCATCATGTGCTTGTTTATTGTAGAATTG